TTTAAAATTGAGAAAAGAATGGAATTATGAAACCGAAAAAAAATTATTTTTTATTCTCATGCTTAAGAATTTATTTGAATAACATTTTTCCGCTGCTCTGTTCTACCTTCTTTTTTTTAATCTTTGCCGAAGGAGAGAAGTAATAAATAATTATTGACACAAGAGCTTACAATAATAATAACAATAAAAGAATTTATATATTCCTTAAAAAATGTAGAGCAGTAAAAAGTAATAAGTTGGTGATGAATAGGGTTTTCAATCCCGGTCCAAATTTTCAATCCCGGGATTACGGGATTGAAAATTCTCGATCCCGGGATCCCGGGGAATCCCGGGATTAAGAGATTATTAAAGAAGCCTTAAAATTTTCAATAAATAAAACATAAAATCTTCGTTTGAGAGAAAAATTCTTATTTTATATTTGTTCTATGTATGTTTATTGTTAATGATTAATCAAAGAAAAGAAAATTAAGTACTAATAATCTTAAAATAAGGTTTTCATTTTGGACCAAGGACTATGGATAGTTGATGAAAATTCGAACTCGAATTTTCAACAACTTTTTTTGTTCGAAAAGTTTCGCGGCAAAACTTTGAAATTGTTATTTACGTTATAATTTTTTTATTTTAATGTTTTTACAATTTTAAATGCATTTGTAAAGATTGAAAACTCCTTAAATATATTGTATTTAAGTGGTTTTAGTTTTATGAGGCTGTAGAATGGTTTTTTTGATTGATTAAAATTTTGTCTTCCAGTTTTTGTAAACAAACAAGTTTGTTTACAATTTATGACAAAAATTTTCAATTGCGATTTTTTCATCTATTTGAAGCATAATTTAAGCTATAACAGTTGCAAAACTTTTATTATCACTGAATAATTATAACAACATGCTTAAATAGAACAAAAAATTACTTAAAATAGGAAATTTTGAGAATTTATGAAAAAATTTGGAAAAAATTCATTTTCGAACTTTCGTGAACAATATCGAAAAAAATGCGGGAAAATTCAAAATATTTTTAATTTAGAATTTTTAATAAGAAAGCGAAGGTGATCCATAGAATCATCAAGTAGTCGAGTGCGAAGTTTACTACAAAAATTAGTTGTTGATGAAAAAGCACGTTCAGATTCCACACTTGTAGGTTTGACAGTTAATAGATACTCATAAGTCAAGTTAAGCAATGACCCTTCGTCACTTTCTTACATTTTTTTTGTGATGAGGCATATTAACAAAATTTCAGTGAGTATTGTGCATGTCAGGAGTGTTTTGTAGTTTTTAAAAGCAATAAATCAAAATTTCAATGATTTTGAATTATTTGTATTTCTTGCGAACGAATTTTTTTACAAAATTTAAGATTTTTTTTAAAATTTTTAACTACTAACTCAATCCCGTAATCCCGGGATTGAAGCTTATTTCAATCCCGGGATTGCGGGACCAAAAAAAACGCGGGAACCCGGGATCCCGGGATCCGGGATCCCGGGATTGAAAACCCTAGTGATGAAGATAGTTTTGGAAAGGCTACAATGGAGAATCTTAAAACTTCTTAAAAATGATTCGAACCTTACTTGTAGGGACGTTTTCTAAAATAAAGGTTAAAAAAATAAAAACAAATACGATCACCTTTGTAGAAATGTTTTTAATAGGATTCGAACCTTGATTTTTGATTGAAATTCACTTAATTCATTCATATTGATGACTAAAATTATTGCAAAATGTAAAATTTAAACTATTGCCCGCCATGCAATGATATATTAAATAATTAAGAAAATCAACACAAGACAAAAGGCTGAATTGAGCGGTAAGACTTATCTACTCCACTTTTATTGCCAATCAGAACAAATAGTCTGGTAAACTTCTATTGAACTATTTTAAATAGGTTCATCATACTAGGTGTACCTCTCTGGTGTAGAATTTGTACTTATATTCCATATCAGTCCCGTTGAAGTCAGCACCAAGCCTAGTCACCCACCAAATCAACCAAAAAAACTAATAATATCCCAATATTCATCAAACAATGCTCCAAAAATTTCCCATAAAAATTGAATAACAAAAAAAGAACAAATAAAAAAAATTATTAAAAAATCCTAAAAAGCAAAACCAAAAAAAATAATGTCATAAATTCTAATAACTCAATTCTTCCCAACAATAATAAAACTTAAAAAATATTTTCATTTCACGATTTGCGTAGCTCTTCTTCCTCCATCTCTACATCATGTTGTATGTGTGAAACATGAAATACGACTAAAAAAATCGACTCTCTTATTTCTCACAATCACGAGCATCTCGACAAAAAAAAAATCCAGCATGGTTCTCTTTACAATGCGCTGACTCACTCTCATTTTATAGAAAAATTCTCTTCCATTTTAGTCGCTCTCGCGTTGCTCTCTCGTGTCCCACAGCCATGCTCTCACACGTTGCCACACATAAAATACGATGAAAACAAATCGTAAATTAGAAATACACACTGCTCCGTCTCGCTCTTGCGCACGACGTCTTATGGAACCATAAATTATAGATATCTCATTCGCACATATCATCCATCTTTTTAAATGCCTTATAAAATACCAATGGTTTATGATGCTATTGGTTGGGAAAATACACACAATCATAGCTTGCTATACTGTATATGTGTGTGTGTTTACTTCTGTTTCACTTTGTTTCGTTTCGGTGATGTATGTTTATGGCCGATATGTTGCTATTGTATAGTGTAAAAAGAAGATTATGCTGTGTATATATTTTTTTATTTCTGTTTCTGTCTTCATGTGATGGTGTGCTAGGCAATAAATTCAACACATTCAGCACATCTTCTTCAAAAAATAAATTCTGCGATGTTAAATAAATTTTATTTTTGAGGGTATAGTGTGCTGTGGACTTGCTAGTAGCTACTAGTTCTCTTTGAAAAATTATTTTAAAAAATTATATATTTTGAGTAAAAAATTGCATAACTCCGGGTGTGCATGCTGATATTCGCAACAAATGTGTGTAACAAAAACAAACTTACTCCACGACTACAACGACAATCGACTCAAACAGCTGAGCTATAAAATTTTATTTGATTAAATTATATATTTTCTTCTCAGAGCTTCTTCCCGAGCGCGTACTGGGACTGCTTGTTATTTTTATTATTATTATTATTACACATCTCCCTTTCACTCACTCACTCACTCACTCATTCTTATTATTATTGTTGATCCACACAGCATTGATATTATTATTGTTACTCACATTTTTGCATTTGTACTTACCCATAGAGCTATAATACATGTGCACATTGACTCATACATAAACGCTTAAATCAACGACAATATATGATGTAAAGGCCTCGGTGATACTTATATTTTATTATACTTTTGCCACATGATTTTCATTCGAATATAAAAAAAAAATTTATTTTGTGTATGGGAAAAGGAAAAGAGAGAAGATTGTATTTTATGGTTAGTTTGATAGAAGTCGTAAAGAAATAAACATCAATTAACATTACACTGAATAAAAGTGGATGTTCGGTTTATAAAAGAAAATAATATTTATTCGGCGGCAATTATTGTGAAAAAAAAAGAATTTATTTAAAAATAATAAAAATTGCAAATAAGCCTCCCGTGTGACCCGGTATGTGTCGTAGACAGACAGTAAACGGCAATTCAAGTCATAAAATCGTAAAGCAGCCGAAGGAACGATAAAAATCTATCATAAAAAAGAAATAAACAAATAATAAAATAGTCGTAAAATTTTCTATGTTCAACAACTTACTCTTACCAAGTCATCAGTCAGTATATATAATAATATTGTGGTGTGTCATTATTTTTATTATTCACGAAAAAAAATAAGTAAAATAAAATAAAAAGGGCATATAAATTAAGTGGCCGAAAGTAATTACGTGCTGTAATCATAAATACATATGTGAATTAGACATAAATGATTGAGTAATAAAATAAATAGTGTTGAATGATATTTCAAGTGTCATAAATTAACGATTAATTAATTAGTTGACATTAGTGTGAAAAAGTGATTGAATATTTAGATTAATATACATCTATATATATTTATTAATGAAAATATAGTCATAATTGTGCAATCAAATATTCATTTTTAACCAATATTTTTCGAGGTGTGGATTTACTTTGGACTAAACTTTTGGATGAGGAGTATGATTTGTGATTGAATTGAAATTTGTGTTTATTTTAAGAGATTTTTGATTTATTTGAAATTTATTGATTTTTGAAATTTAAAATAATTTGTTAAAAAATTTAAATTAGCTATTTGTGAAACTTTTGGATTGCTCAAAGTCAATTAATTCTTAAAAATCTCAAAACTATTTAAAGAAGATCTTTTATACAAAATTTATGTATTTTAAACTAGTAAAGGAAACTGCAAAGATCTTCATGCAGTTATTATTTAGAAATTGTATGAAAATTAAAGAAGATTGAAGTTCGATTCTTGAAAAAATTAGATTTTTGTTACATTAGTGCAGGCTTTTTTGCAAGATATTTTTTTTTTGCAAATTCCAATTGATTTTCATTTATTTCATTTTTTTTTAATTTCTTTAAATGCTTGCTTATTTCGCAAGAATATTTAAAGAAAATTATTTAAATTGCAAATTTAAGTCATAAAATCTTCAAATATTAATATTGAATATTAGAAAACGTTTAAACATCTTTGGTTCGAATCCTTAAGTTGGATGATTTACTTTCTGATTTATTTCTTGTACCGTTTGACATTTTGCTGTTAATCTGCATTTTTAAAATCTCAAAATTTATCATCATAAGTTTTGAAAATTACATAAAATTTCATAATAAAATTTAAAAAAATTTGAAAAATTTAAATTGCGTCATTTCAAACATTTTTCTTAAATAAAATTAAAGTTTTGAAAAATTAAAACCTTAGCCTGTCAATACTTAAAAACCTCATTAATCACAAAGTCACATTTTATGCAACAACCTCATTCCAAAATCACCCAAAACCTACCTTCAAAAATATTGTTTTAAAAATAAATATTCAATTCTAATTTAGATTAAAAAGGTCGTACTAATTTAAGAATTGTGTGCATTCATCATAGCTTAAATTGAATAAAAATACATACACAAGAAAAAGTCATAAAAATACACTCAAAAAAAAATAAAGTTCAAGCAATTTCAAGTGTCAAATAATTTTCAGAGAAGCATCAGATTGATAACCTCAAAAATAAAAAAGCTGGCGCTTGACATAAAAAAGAATAAATAAAAAGTTCATCGTGTGATGCTCAAAAGTGAAAAATACTCATCATTGATTATTAATTGAATGTAAGTACATGCTTAATTTAATATAATTGTTACTTTGTAGATGAAAATGATTGTATGGAATGAAACTTATTGATGATAGGCTCGCGCATCGCAATTTTGAGTGGAAAATATTAAAATTATATGGAATTGTGTGTGCAATTTATCAATTTAGTTTTAATTGTTTTGATGGGATGTGCAGTTGGATTGCAAATAGGGGGTCAGAGATCAATTTGGATGTTTCGCGATGAATTTGTAGTTGAAAAGCTATTATTTGGAGTCTTTAATCAAGAAATGTCATCCAAAATAAAAGATTAAGTAGCTCCTCTCACTTTTGGTACTAAATTGTCAAGGAGTTACACTTGCTGTTGGAGGGCAAGTAACTGTAGAGTTCTGTAGTCTTTTAAACATAAGATACTTAATTCAGAACTTATCATCTCCTTTTCAAAACCAATTTGACTTTTATTGAACCAACCTTGATCAAGATAGACTAGCTAAGCTAACCACAGACCCAAAATGTCACCTAAGAAAGCTCCTTACCCTAAAAATCCTCACTACAAATCCAAATCAACTTTAAATCTTCAACTTATCCACAAAACCTCTATCCGATCATCAACCTCTATTCCATAAAATAAATAATCATTAAATACCTAAACCACTACTTAAATTAAACGCAGCTAAGTTAATTTTTATGTTTTCTTAATCCTAATGACTATTCATAATCTCACTCAGGAGGAACAACGAACAGCAAAGTAAATTTTATTAAAGAATTATTCATTAATTGCTTATGAAAGTAGTTTGTTGGTTATGTTAGCTCGATGAGCTCATTTTCGCTGATTTGTTATAGTTTTGGCTGGCATAAAGAAATGTTTTAATGATGCTGAAAATATTGAAGTGATTTTTAAGAATTTTGTGCTAATGAATTGCTTAATTTTACTACCAAATGGACTTAATTTTAGTATATAATGGAAGTTTGCTGTTAATAGTCAATAATTAAAAAAATGAATTATAAAAAGCTTGATCAAAAAGCTGAAGTTCGAATCTTAAAAATTTAAAAAAAATGTCCATCCACTGCCTTTAAGTTTTTTTAAACTTTTAAGCATTTTTATTCAACTCTAACTTCCAAAAATCAATTAAAATCACACCATTTATTATTTTTTTTACCTAATTAAACTCTTTTCAACATTTTTAATGAGTTTCAACTAATGACTGAATCAGTCACGTGTAAATTATTTCAAATGACTTTTTCATAATGTGTTAATTGCTCGTCATAAAAGAGATATTGCGAAAAATACATTAATTATCAGGATAGCAATTAATGTGATATTAAATTAATTAAATAAACATAGTAATTGAGGTAAACTGTGAAGAAATCAGAGGAATAAAAATTAAAATGTGGGGATATGGTTTCAATATTAAAAGCTTTCCTGAATTCAAATTTTAATTAAAATCATAACGAAATTTAAAAAAATTCTAAATTCCCCAAAAACATTCTCTTTAATTTCTAAAATGCCACTTCAAACCAGGAAGTCCCCCCACACATCAACGGAAATCATCAATTCTCACAAACTTCCACAATTTTCAAAGCAATGTCCACACATTACATATATTTAGAAAAAAAAAGAAATCACAAAAGGAAATAAGCATAACATAAATGTAATAAAAATTAATTAACACTTTGCGTACGTCCGTCTGTATAAATGGCAACTTGCATGTGAGCCTTTTATGAGTTATAACCTTGCACCTTGTTCTGAATTGCTTTGCTTTCATTGCAACAATGTAAACAACTTGATCTCGTTTAGAAAATTGATCATCGATATTGATTTATTTAAGTTTGTGGTGGTGAAGCAGCTGAAGGGGGTGCAAGTGGGGTAGGGAATATTCGTGTCAAGGCTTTAGAGGGGGCAATATTGAGTAATGGCTTTAATGGCTTACATAAACGCTGTTGTTTGAGGTCACATTATTTAAATTTAATGTAAGATCCCAAAACCTTACTTACAGCTAGTGGAATGAAGGATTTAGGTTTAGAGAAGTTTGAGGAGCTGTGAATAATTTATCTGAATATTAGAAGCCCACTTGTCCCCATAGAAATATAGTCAGGCCTATAAATGACAATACACTATCTAAAATCCACACCATCTCCAGTCTGCATGCCTCCAAAAGCTCCATAATTCCATCACACAATTCCCAATGAATTCCACATAGCCTACGATGCACATAAAGCATAATTTTCCAGTCATTCCTGCAGCAAACACATGCGCACATAAAAATTCAACATTTTTCATCGCCATAATTTTCAATTAGTTGACAAATTTTAACACAAAAAAAAATTTTTTTACTCTTTTTCCATTACGTAACATAACACACATGAGTTATGGTGTCATGTGATAAAAAGCAACAACTTTTCACGTTTGATCTATCTACAAAACTACCGGACAATATTATTGTGTTATCATTTTTCGGGCGTCTGAATAAATTAAAGAATTTTTGCATATTATTATCATCAACATTCCCGGGTGGACACAGCCAGTTAAAGTCCATTATTGGACAATCATTTAACAGTCTTTTAACTTGTCAAAATATATACGACATAGAGAACTATACGTTAACTAGACTTTAACTGGACATTTATGCTAATCAATCAAGTGTTCGAAACTTAAAAATAATTTTCCTTACTTTTTTGACCATATACTTCACAAGCGCTTACAGAAATCACTTATATAAGGTCCACCAAAATTTGTATGAAACTTTTAAGTAAATATAATTGTTTCACGCGCAAGTGTTCGAAACTCAATTTTACTAGAGATTTTTCATAAGTGATAGTGTACTTTAATTAATTAATTACACTAATACAATAATAAAATTTTACAAAAGAAAAAAATATGGAGAAAAAGACACGTGTTATTTATTTTATTTCGATTTTTTTGTAACTGGACATTAACTAGACATATTTGCAATTCCTATGTCCAGTTAAATGGAAAGCGCAAAATATGTCATTAGTCGTCCCTAAGTCTAGTTGCAAAGGCACGTCAATGGATACTTACTCGTCGTGAAAAGGCAAGTCAATGGCAAGCTTTTAACTAGTACTTTGTCCACTCGGGATTATGAAGTTGTCTGCAGTCGGTACGATAAGAATGGGGACAATGACAATTGCAATGCAACAGTGAGTTTTCTAATTCACATTAATTCAATTATATCTTTTTTTTTTGTTTGAAGTAAAGGACGATGAATCATTTCTGAAATATTTTAATCTTCCTCATCTGCATTTATAATGCTGGAAATATAAGAATAAAATTCAATTGTATTAAAAAAGTTTTTCTTACTTGTTCACGTACGAAAACTAAAATTCTATATCTCATTTCCTTTTATCCTATTTTAAAAGTATAAAAAGCTTCAAGTTGAATTGTAAATCTCCGAACTCTTTTGTAATCGTTTGTTCTTGTCTTTAGTCACTTTTGGTGTAGTTTTGAGTTTTTTGATGAAGATTTTTTGTCAGATGAGATTGAGTTTAGATGGATATGGATTGGCTTGCGTGTCTTAGGTTACTTGTAGGCTTTCAATCATTTTTCAATATTCTAAATTTAAATTAATCAAAAAATGCGCTCTATCCCTTGATTTTAACCTTAAAAAAATTCAACTAATTAATTTTCTCTTCCACACGAGCTAAAAAAGAAACAAGAAATCCATGTGATTATGGTACAGCACACAAAAAAAAAAGATTTAATTCTATTCTACCAAAAAAAGCACACAAATAAAAGTTTTATCAACTGAAAGGGAGAAAGAACTAGCAAAGGAAGATAATATGCGAACATTTGATAATAGAAAAATTGCCATTTACATATTATATATAAAAGAAGATGTGAGATAGGGAAATGAGGAATTTTACGTAATAAAAAAATTATTGAAGGATTAAGAGATTTGAATTTTAAATTCTTTATTTTGTTTGGAAGAAGAGAAATGTTGATAAAGTTTTAAATTTGTGTTAAATGTTTTATTTTAGGTTGATTTAACATTCTAAATGGGATGCTGGACTTTAAATTCATCATTTTTTGAATTTTATAACTTAATCATTGAAATTTATTATTAAAAATTAAATGAATTTTTAATTTTAAATTTTAAATTATATGAAAACTGGTTTTAAATTAAATTTATACTTATAAAAAACAAATATTTTCAAAAATTTTTAAAAACAGAAAAAAACAACGAATTAAATTTTATTTAAAAATGCGACGGGAAGTAATTAAATTAGTGAAAATATAATTTTGTTTATTTCCAAAATATAATTTTTTTTAAAATTTATTTTATATATTTTTTTTTAATAGTTGTAATAATTAATACATAAAATTTGAGATTTGAAATTTACTAAAATCTTAAAACTCAAATTAAACTTAAATCAAGAATATAGCAGGTAAAACCCAAAAATCTACTCAATCTAAATCCAAATCCTCTCATTTTAAACCCCAACTCCAATAAATTTCAACAGAAAAAAAATCGCTATAAATTTATTTGAATTACATTTTTAATCTCTCAATAATTAATTTTAACGACTTATTGATCCACATTGGATGATAAAGTGTTAGAGCACTCGAATCACTTTTCAATCTTGTCAATGTTTTAACTCACATATTTTTTATTGAATTAAGTTCAATGTAAAGGCTTGAGCAGACCTCATTTTAGTGTTAAAATTTTTATTTTTATATCTTTAAAACAATTTAATTTTTAATATCTTTAAAAATATATTAAAAAACTTTGGGATTTAAAAAAAATTAAATAATAGTTAAAAAGATCTTATAAAAAATTTAAAAAAATCTAATAAACTTTAAAAAAAATAAAAAATATTAAAAGTTTTGATTAATTCCAAAAAACTTTAAAATTTGGTAGTTTTTTAAAAAATTAAAGTAAAATTTCAAAATTCTTTAGAAAAAAAAATAAAAATAAATTTGAAAATTATTTTTAAAAAATTGAACTTTTTTCTTTAATTCAGTCCACATCTCTGCCGACTCTTTACTATTCCAAAGGTGTCA